CATAGGTTATTCCCATCTCTTTCCTATTGTAAATAATGGTGCAGTAAATATGGGTGTGAAGTTGTTGCTAAAAAGCAATGATCTAAGTCTAGAGACTAAGGTGCACCTGATTCAGGCCATTGTCTTCGCCAATACCTGCTGTGCATCAGAGAGGTGGACAGTGACTAAGGATGAAAGAAAAAGAGTCAATGCCTTTGAGTTGTGGTGCTGGAGAAGAGTCTTGAATGTACTACATAATGCCAAGAAAACTCATCAGTCTATCTTGGAAAGGGTAATAAAACCAAGTTTCTCCTTGGAGGCTAGGATTTTCAAGCTCATATACTTTGGGCATGTGGCCAGGAGGAACTGGTCCTTGGAGAAGGACATCATGCTTGGAAGGGTGGAGGACAGCACAAGAGAGGAAGACCCCTGATAAGATGGATTGATACAGTAACTGGGACAATGGGGATAGGTGTGTTGGGGTCAGTGAGACTGGCTCAGGACAGGGCAGGCTTCAGAGCTGTTGTGCATAGGGTCGCTGTGAGTCACAGGCAACTCAACAGCACATAACAACAACAAATATGAGTGTGCGTGTTGTAAGGAGAGACAGGTCTTTGGAGAGGGACATCATGCTGGGCAAAGTGGAGGGACAGCGCAGGAGGGGAAAACCCTCTATGAGGTGGATTGATTCAGTGACTGGGATAATGAGGATGGGTGTGTCAGAGGCAATGTGATTGGCGCAGGATAGAGCAGGGTTTAGGGCTGTTGTGCATAGGGTCGCTATGAGTCGCAAACGACTTGACGACACATAACAACAACATGTATTAGTTTATGTCACCGCTCTTATTTCCAACTTTTTGAGGAGGTGCCAGACTAATTTTTCACAAAGGTTGCCCCATTTTACAGGCCCTTGAGCATTATGTGAGAATTCCAGTCTTTCCTCACCCTATTTGTTGTTTGCTTTCTCTCTGATTTTTGCTGTTGTTGCTGGGGCGAGATGATATCTCATTGTTGTTTTGATTTGCATTTCTAATAGCTTCATGTGTTTATTGGCCAACTGAATGTGTCTTCTTTGGTGAAGTGTCTTTTCATGTCCTCTGCCCATTTTATAATTTAGTTATGTGTCTTTCTTTTTCTATACATTTTAGAGATTATCCCCTTGTCAGGTATGTCATTATCGAATATTTTCGCCACCCATAGACTCTCCTTTTGCTTTTATGGAGCAGCTTCTGATGCATATAAGCCTTTAATTTTTAGACAGTTCCAGGCATCTGGTTTATCCTGTTGCTGTCTGTACATTTTTGGTTATGCCTCCTAGTCTATTTATGCCATAGATTAGAGCTCCTAAGTTTGCCCTTATGTTTTCTTTGATGGTGATCTTTCTTTTTTTAATTTTTTTAAAATGTTTTTCTTTTTTGTGTGCATGTACCGTCAAATCAGATCTGACTGGCACAGGAGGAGATTGTCCCTCCTTCCCTGGCAGAACATCTGGTGGATTCGAACTGTTCGTCTCTGGGATTGTAGTTGCAGCTCCTTGCCACTAGTCCACCAGAGCTTCCCTGATGGTGATCTTTCTAAGTTTCAATTTTACACTTGAGACCTTGATTCCTCTTGAGTTAGTTTTTGTATATGGTGTGAGGTATGGGTGTTCAGGGTTCTGCATGTGAGTATCCGATTTTGCCGGCCTTACTTGCTAATGAGGCTCTTTTCCTTCCTAATGGGTTTCATGTCTTTATCCAAGATCAGCTGTCCACAGATGGATAGATTGACTTCAGAGTTCTCAAATCTCTGTACCAGCACCAGCTGCTTTGATGACTGTGGCTGTGGAGCAGGTTTTGGGCTTGAGAGACAGAGTTTTCCTTTTTCAGAAGTGCTTTACTACTTCTCTGGGATCTATTTCCTTTCCTTAAAAGTAAATTATTCCCCACCCCAATCTCTTTGAAAAGTGAGGACGGAATCTCATTCACGGAAGCTCCTTTGGGGTTGTTGTTGTTGTGCCATTGAGTCGCCTGCGACTCATAGCACGCTGTGGACAACAGCTCTGAAGCCAGTCCTGTCCTGAGCCAGTCTCACTGACTCCGACACACCTAATCCTATTGCCCCAGTCACTGAGTCAATCCATCTCATCCGGGATCTTCCTCTCCTGCTCTGTGTCTCCATTCTTCCAAGCAAGATGTCCTTCTCCAAGGACCAGTTCCTCCTGGCCACGTGCCCAAAGTATGTGAGACGGAGCTTCAGAATCCTTTGGGTAGTATCACTATTTTCACAATATTAAGTCTTCCTATCCATATTTCTCTGAAAATTTCTTAAAAATACTGAGTCTGGCTCTCTCTTCTTGCTAAGGAACCAAAGAAAAGTAATGTGAGTTTGACAAACTGCACCGGGAAAAAATGTGCAGTGTGGCTTAAAAAGACATTTCTTTACTCTAATGCAACAGGATGGGTTTAATCTGAGGCAACTATGACGGCATAAATGACTGTGACTCTTGGCCTCCCCTCCACCCAAGCTTAGAAGGAAAGGAAAGCACAGAGCCAGAGAATTTGGAGCTATTTTAATTTAACATTTATTCTTTGCTCTGGGCGGTGATGGTGATAATGAGCCTGAAACTGAGTTCTGAAATAGCTGAGCTGGGATGTTTCCAGAGAGTATTCTGATTCATGTAAATACCAGCGATGTTCAGTGAACCGGTCTCTCCAGACACATGTCTGTTAAAAAAAAAATACCAGCGGACTGAGCTGAAATGGAACCTACCATCCTTGTTTGGCCGGTGGCCTGTGCAGTTCAACTCCGACCTCCAGTACCCCAGAGGTGAGGTGCTCAGGACTGGGTGACCCAAGAATACAGGCTTGTTCCCCAGGCCTTTTACAGCCGGGGAGAGGAATCCTGCAGCTGCTGTGTCCACCTCATCACTTCTTGGCGCTGTGACAGCCCTGCTTCCAAAACCAGCCTTCAGCCCAGCGTGGCCTAAAAGAAAAGCATTTATTTTGGGTGTGGGGATGCCCGGTACTTGGGCCAGGCCCTTCAGGCTTCCTGGAAATGACCATTCTCATAGAAAAGAATAAAAAGGAACTCCTGTATGAACCTCTGAGGACTGGGGTGACTCAGGCCCTTGTTTGATTCTCTCTGTAACAAGTTTTTATTTTGGAAACTTTCTTGCTTGTTGAGTGCTTTCTTACCCCTCACACCCAGCCTTAACAATCTTATTTTTAATGGGCTCTTACATCCAAAGCTCACATCCGTTGAGCTTTTTTCAGGTAAAATTCTTAGGTCAGAATATAAAGCATTGGAGAAAAAGCCACTCAAAGATCATGTTCGGACTTAAAAAAAATCTGTCTGTCCTGAAATGTCATTCAAGGACCACTTAGGGGAGATGATTTAAGTTGGTTATGAAATATCTTTTTACTTGGGGCTATGGATCCACAGAGAATTGGGGGTCTTTTGTTCACCCAAGAGTCAGAGGAGGTGTGAGAGGTGGGCAGAGTGGGCTGGAACCTGCTTACTGGAACGCTCTGCCCAGGTGCCTGAATAAGCCGCACTGCACTGTCTGATAAAGAAAGTGAATCCAGAGCAGGCAGGCCAGGTACTGATTGAGGTCACATGGGGATGCCAGCCCTCTCGCCCTCACTGTGCAAGCTGACCTTGTGCCTCAGGGGTCACTGAGGTGTTCCTGTGACTGCCATGTGGTCCACGCTGTCGCTAAGGTAAACTCAGTTTGGGGGCCTGTGTCTGTTGATGGTTGTTCAGCCTTCCACACTCAGCTGTATCTTAAGCGACACCTTGGTTGTTATCGTTCTTTTTCTTCACTAAAAGACTTGACTTCTTGGGAGTGGCCACCAGAGAAGTTGGGGGACAGTTGGTCCAGGGGTTAGCACCAAATCACCTCTGTAGGATTCATATGCTTGTTTGTGGATAATGGTTCTATCCATCTGGAATTCTGACTGTTTCTGCTTCCCTGGGGAATACTGCATAGCTGCTAGCAGCATCCAGCAGGTCTGTGAACTGCTGTGGTATGTGGATTCCTAACACGGGATGGATTGGACTGCCATGAGAACAAATAGGTCTGTCTTGGAAAGGGCGAAATCAAGTTTCTCCTTGGAGACTAGGATTTTGAAGCTCTGTCTCACATACTTTGAGCACGTGGCCAGGAGGGACCTGTCCTTGGAGAAGGACATCATGCTTGGAAGGGTGGAAGGACAGTGCAGGACAGGAAAACCCTGCATGAGATGGATTGACATAGTAACTGGGGTAATGAGAGTAGTTGTGTCGGAGTCAGTGAGACTGGCTCAGGACAAGACAGCCTTCTGAGCAGTTGTACATAGGGTAGCTGTGAGTCATGGGAAACTCGACAGCACATAACAAAAATATGAGGCGAAGGGAGCTCTGGTGGCTTAGCGTTGAGGAACTTTACTATCAGCCCAGAGGTACACAGTTCAAACCCACCAGCTGTCCCATGTGAGAAAGATGGACAAGTATCTCCTCTCTGAAAACCCGCCAGAGGGTCAGCTATAGGTTGGTTCAGACTCCGTGGTAGACGACAACAACATGAGGTGACGTAGCCATGACTGCCGTGGTTAATTGCTTGACTGCTAACCCGAAGAGTCAGTGGACTGAGCTCCTGCCTGCTCTCCGGGAGAAAGCTGTGGCCACTTGTTCAGTCAAGATTTACAGCCTGGCAAGCCCCGTGGGGCAGGTCTACACAATCCTATTCAGGTGACTGCGAGTCAGAATAGTCTAGACGGCAGCTTGATATACATCTCATTAACCCTCCGGAGATCTTTAGAATCCCTCCGAAGCCACCTGTTGTGTAGTCTTACCTTCAAGGTGAAGAAGCTGGGGCTCACAGAGGGTAAGCAGCTGCCCAGGCCCTACAGCAATTAAGTGGCAAAGCTGACACTGGAACCCAGGCTTGACCTGCTCCATCATCAGCACTGCCCACTGGGTGCCCACCCACCCACAGGCCTGCCCTGGACGCAGCCTGAGCCCCAGCTCGAGACAGTAACCTCCCATGTCTTCTTTTTCAGGCCCTGAAACGCCAGAGCTTGTTGGGCCTCTCCTTCTTTAACAGCATCCTGGCCCACGGGGACCTACGAAACAACAAGCTGAACCAGCTTTCCGTCAACTTGTGGCACCTGGCACAGAGGCATGGCTGTGCAGACACCAGGACCATGGTGAGGCGCTCAGAGGGCCCCTCAGGTACTCATAGCACGGGCCCATCATGGGGCTCAGGACAGATAGCCCCTGGCTCCAGTAGCCCCAGGGCTCCCTTTGGAGGGGTGCTCAGGCCCACCATTTTTTTTTAAATTATTTTATTATTTTTTATGTGTGTGTACTGTCAAATTGGATCTGAATGGTACAGGAGGAGACTGCCTCTCCTTCTCCAGCAGAGCACCTGGTGGATTTGAGCTGTGTGCCTTCGGGGTTGCAGTGCAGCTTCTTGCCACTAGGCCACCAGACCTCCCTGGTAGGCCCACCATTTTTGCTGGCCGCCTGACTAGAACCAGAAAGGAGAATATGAAATGTTCATTCTGTCTGATTACAGTAACCACACACATTGAAGTCTTCCCTTGTTCATACCCCAATCTGATTTTATAGGGACTAAGTATAATTTAAGTTGTATTAAACTTCGCTGGTGTCCGCCGTCCCCCAAGTTCTTCATTGCCACCTGTTCTCTGCTAGGTCACGTGAAGCTCATAACAATGGCCGACTTGCTGGAGCCTTCAGTTCCATGAATGGATAATTATGAACCAGAATGTAAACAGTTCTGCCTTTTCTTCCTAGGTGAAAACTCTGGAATACATCAAGAAGCAAAGCAAACAGCCAGACATGAGTCACCTGACGGAGCTGGCCCTGAGACTCCCCCTGCAGACGCGGACCTGATGGCTCGTCCCCAGGCCTGGGTCCAGGGCTTCAGAGAGACACATCTTGCTCTAGGCTTGTACTGGAATCCAGGCTCTTTGTTCTTCAGGTTTTCGTTTCTCTTAAAACATGAATACAGATGGGTTCATTCTTTGGCTCTTGTCCAGACTTTCTGACAGTGAAAAAGGGGGAAGCGCGAGCACACACATCACATCTTGCTCACTGAGAAGCAGCATCTTCGTGTTTCTTTGTCCAAGTGACATTCAGGTTCTCAGTCAGCGCTTACAAGAATCCACTGACCCTCTAGCAAGAGAGAAGCTTAAAAATGCCAGTGATACATTTTTAGTAGGTTCTTTTTTATTTCTATATTTTTGGAAAGCAATCCACTTTTCAAGAGCGACTGTCCACACTGAGGACTGGAATCTGGAATTGAATGTAAAGTCTGTTGCTCACACCAGACTCAAGTTAGCTGCTTCTGATAAAAGCATCTCTTGGTGAGACTCAGAGCATGTGGGTTGGTCAAAGGAGGAAATGAGGTCAGAGTGGACAAGCCTCACTGTGGCTTCAGCGGCAAGTTCACAGGAACTAAGGAAGCATCCTGGAGGAACCTGACCGCTCATTTAATTACTCTTGACTTTCTTCATCCAGATTGCGCTTATTAGCCCATCTTGTCTTTCAACTGTCATTCCAAACAGCATGTAGTTCTGGCTACTTTTCTGTTGCCAGTTTGGTAGAATCGGAATTTTGTATTACCGCTCATAGGCTTTGAACATTTACTTAAGTAAAAATTTCCCCATGAACATGCATCCAGGTTATGGAGTAAAAGTGTCCTAAAACATGTTATTTGGAGGGGGGGGGAACCCAACAAACCCAGACAGACCACCAAAACAAAAAATGTTATTTTGTGAAGCTGTATTCACATTGATCATATTTTAGTTCTTCACTCTGGGTGTGCAAATTAATTGGGGGATCACAGTTAACTTCAGAAAGTAAAATGATTTAAAAGTTGTTTATATAAACTTCTGTTCTTACTGAAAACACAGGCTGCGAACACAGATCTGCTGGCTGTCTTGGTAATGATGATAACCACAACCACCCCATTTTCCCACTCTCCCCCGCCACCTGAGAAACTCTGAGAAAATAAGACTAAACAATGCTGTTAGGTGCTATCGAGTCAACTGTTACAACCCAGTGAACAGCAGACCTGAACCTTCTCCTGTCCTGCACCAGCACCGTCTGTCATGCTCAGGTCTAATGCAGTAATCACTATGTCTGTCTTGTTGGGGGAACTTCCTCTCTCTCAATGAATGATGTCTCTTCTGCTCAAAGTGTGACCAAGTTTCAGTGAAGAACAGGATACTGAGGACTTCCCACACAGCCCTGTTGGCTGGCAGTACCGAGATGCACCGCTAACCCAAAGTGTGCTTCTATCGGGCATCTGAACCTGTCAGCAGCTCTGCTGTATAGAAGATAGACAGTCTCCTCCGCCGTGATTTACAGTCCTGGACACCCAAGGGCGGATCACAAGAGGCAGAACCTACTTGATGAAAAAGAATAAATTTCTCTTTTACTGATCAAAGCAATTTTTAAAAAAATCAATTAAGTACTGTATTATCAGGACAAAGGTGCCATGTCACATTTATATTTACACCAAAATTATTTTACATACCATCTTTATGTGATGCTATTTAAGTGAAGGAAAAAAACAAACAGTGGCAAATTCACAAAGGATGCTAATTTTTTTTTTTATCCTTGGAGGTTATAAATGTCACTGGGTTTATGACAATGACTAGGACCTGGGTTTTCACACCAGGACATGTACGTGCCATATCAGAGGGCACTCTGTGCCATCCACTGCTATAGCCATCCACTGCCTTCTCTTGGCAGCCAAGATGACTCACGTACTTTCTCCAAGCCCACTGCTATCAATACGCTGATAATCCGGAAGCCAGTCTGCAGCAGGTAAAATCCACCATCAGTAACAGTACAACAGAGTTTTATCAAGAGTGATAAAAATTAAGGAAATATCTGCAGGAGTCCTGTGTTCCTAGGTGCTATAACAAATTAGCTGGTTTAAAGCCAAAATATCTTATTTTACGGTTCCAGGGAGCTCTGCTGGCCTAGCGGTAAGGAGCTGCACTGTTGAGGCGCACAGTTCAGATTTACCACCTGCTCCGTGGGATCGATCGCCCCTGGAATCTACTACCTCTGAAAACCTGCTGGAGGGTCAGCTAGGAGGGAGTTCAGCCCCAGCAGTGCTCAACAAAAACAAGGGGTCAGAAGACCACCTCACCAGGATAGAGAAGTCAAGGTGTTAACAAGCCGCCTGCCTTCAGGCAAGTTCTTCAGGGAAAGGGTAGGCTTTTGCTTTTTCAGCTTTTAAAAGCCACCTGCCTTCTTTGACTCTTAGCCCCTTTCCAGAGCCAACAGTGACCAGGTGACGCTTAGCACATTGCCCGGCACTGGCTCTTCTGCCTGCCTCCTCCATATTTAAGATTACACTTGGCTCACCCAGATAGTACAAGATGATCCCCCTATTTTAAAGTCACCTCGCTAGTGGCCTTAACATCACCTGCAGCCACCACCACCAACCACCCTGCTTTATAATCTCTAGGGTCTAGAAATCTGGATGTAGACTTGGTTGGGGGGGTGGGTGAATTCTACCTACCACAAGGCCTAAATAATTTTAATTGTAAAAATAGGCATTTTCTTTGGAAAAATGTTGTGAAGGCCTATCAAGGAAAGGTAGCCTCTGATGGGCCAGGGCATTTCCTGTTCAGAGAAGCCTGCGTTGGAGTCTGCTCGATGATGTGAAATGGACCCAATCAGAACCTGTATTTGGGATGTAAAATGCTGGGTGAGTGGGAAGAACGTGAGCACTGGGCACCTGGTCATTGTTCCTGGAGCTCTTTGAGGCTTGCTGGTGAGTCCAGGCTTAGAAAAAATGGGATTGTCCCCATAGCTGATGAGGCCACTTCCTGGGTCTCCTTGCACTTATCTCCCTCTTTGAAGTCACCTGTGCCTCTTCCTTGTTTGTGGCCACAAAGAGCAAAACACACCTGGGAATTCGCTGTTCAGCCCATCTGGAGGACTCAAAGCTGGGGCCAACACACTGGTTCCCACTGTGCAGCCCTACAGGACGGAGAACGGTCTGATAAGGTTTCCAAGGCTGACAGCTTCATCAGCGTTGAACCGCCACACCTTTCTTCCCCAGGGCAGCTGAACGTGACCCTCCAGCCAGTCAGTTAGCAAATGCAGCCTCCTTTTCAGACTGTCTCGCGAATTCTATCATTAAAAGGGACATGCTTGATTTTGGGGGATCCTTGGGGCCATCCTAGGGACCAAAGAGGACAACACAGTTTAGGGGTTGGGACTTTAATCAGGCAAGAGACTCACAGGTGCTAGTGGTGCAGCTGCCTTCAAAGCCCACCGGACAGAAATGGCTTATGTTGGTGCACCTGTTTGTGCCACTCCACAGAGAAAGGAGGACAAGACGACTTCAGGGAGGGAACTCCAATAAGGCAGAATTCACGTAGGGCTATGATGCAGACTGAGGGTAAAGTATAAAAGTATTGATAACGAGACAGAACACCAAGAATGTAGGAGAAAACAGGTGAAGCAGGAGGCAAACAGTTCTCAAGCAACTGAAGTGAAGACCTTCGCTTCCCTGTATCTATACTGAAAGTTGCCAGGGAGCAAATCACCAAGAGAATTCAATGCAAATGAAGCTAAAACTCTTTCTACTGAAAACCTTATGCTTGACTCAGGAGGGAGGGGTTAGCAAATACAAGAATCCTGTAAATGCTAGTGCTTCAGGGTGAAATCCAGCTTGTATCAGCCTCCCTCATATCCTGAAGTAGCATTCAGTTTTATTACAAATATTTAGTATCAAATTTGGCTTCCCATAAGGCTGTTCTGCAGACCAGAGAGGACCTGAAAGACTTTAAAAAAGACAAACCTTCCCGCCCTGTAGTACCAGGAAGGACTTCAGTAAAGCGAGTCTCTCACTATATATTGAACATTTTAAGCTGGCAACTAATTAATATCATCATAAAGATAAAGAGGACATAGGACAACCTATGCAGACATAAAAGAAACAGCTCAACACATACAAGAAAAATTTCACATGTCAAAAAAACAGCAGGCAGCTTTAAACATGTGAAGAACAAATTTAGCCTTCTATAGAAAAAGGAGGGCATGTTGGAGACCCAATAAATACCCCAGAGTCAGGGAGGCAGAAGATATATATGGACATGGAGTCATACGAACAGTTATGGAAGAAGGTACAAATGAAAAAAGAGAAAAAAAGGAAGCCAAAAATAATACCCCGGAGGCAGAGAACCAGAAGAATTACACTGATGTGGAGTTATATGCACAACTACAAAGGTGCAAATGATGGAAGCCATAAAGGAAGCAAATACTCCAGAGACAGGGAGCCAGAAGAAAGATACTGGCACAGAGGAACTTCAACATTACAGAAGAAATTGCAAAAGACAAGAAAAAAGTCAAACTATAAAGTGGTACAAAAGCTTAAAAAAAATCACAAGACACAAAGGGTACAGCCAACACTGTACTGTAAATAACAGAAATACGTGAATATTAAGACCAAAATGGCAGAAGTGTCCAACATGCTGGAGGAACAAAAAAGAATAGAAGAGACAGAAGAAAGTGTCAGTGAGCTGAATGTCAAATTGTCAGCAGGAATATACTAGAAAAAAAAAATCAGAGCTATGACAGAAAAATGGAAAAAAACATTAGAATCATGTGAGATGACATCAAAAGAACAACATGTATGATCAGAATTTAGAACACAAGAGGGACAGGGAAATCACTGAGAAAACTTCAGGAAGAGGTACTAGAAGAAAATTACCCAGGTATGATGAACAGAGAAATCCATATTCAAGAAGCTCAGTGAACACCAAACAGACTAGACTCAAAAAGAAAAACAAGACATAACATAGTTTAATAGGAGCTACTACTAACACTGCATGCCTAGACATCTCTCTAGAAAAATTCCAGCATCTCTCAAATGCTCTCCAAGAGTCACTAGAAGATACTGCAGCTCAGCTCATTGCAGTTCAAGACCAAACTGACTACCTAGCGACAACTGTATTACAAAACATGAGGGGACACAAACTATAGAAAAAGGTGGTCTCTGCCTTTTGTTTCTATATCAGTAAATGAGTAGAGAAAGAGGAAAAAAAAGACAAAGCTAATGCCCCAAATAAGACAATCAGGGACCAAGGAGCAACTAGGAATTCCCTCTAGGCTACTCCCCCTCTTAATTCCTTTTCTAGTGGTCATTTTTGTAACTCTGTTTTAGAAATCTTTCAGAAATGTTAAATAGAATGTTTCACAGCCATCTCCTGAAACACTAACTGCCCAGAAACATGTGAAATCAGTGCTCCTCCTTCAGACCTTATGGGGAAGCCAACCTCAGCCTCTCTAGCATCACCCCTGTCCAGCAGGAAATGTTACGTGCTTTCGAGTCGTTTGCGATTCATAGCAACCCTGTGTACAACAGCCCTGAACCCTGCTCTATCCTGTGCCAATCGCATTGCCTCTCACACACCCATCCCGATTACCCCAGTCACTGAATCAACCCACCTCATAGAGGGTCTTCCCCTCCTGCGATGTCCCTCTCCAAAGACCTGTCTCTCCTTGCAACATGTCCAAAGTATGTCAGACGAAGCCCCAGAATCTTTGCCTCCAAGGAGTAGCCCTCTCTAGGAAGAATGTTTTCTTGGCAGTCCATGGTACATTCAATACTCTTCTCCAGCACCACAGCTCAAAGGCGTCAACTCTCCTTCTATCCTCCTTAGTCATTGTCCAGCTCTCTGATGCATAACAAGTGATTGTAAAGACCATGGCCTGTATCAGGCGCACCTTCTCCGTTGCTAGCTCAATTCTGGCCCTAATCCTTTTATACCTCTTCATGTCTGGAATGGAGAAAGCAGCTTGAGGAAACGGGATAATGTCTATCTCCTGATAAGGTGACTAGATGACTGGATACTGATAAGGCTTTGGGCCTGATCACACATAGAATTCCCCAAAATAAAAGAATAAAAGATAAGGATAGAATACTAAAAACAGCATGAGAAAAACAGAATCATCTACAAAGGAGAACCAAGTATGTGCCGATTTCTCAGCAGACCATTATTGTAAAACTAGAATGACAATTAGAAAAATGTGTATGAAGGTCCAAGGAGGGAAGGGAGGAAGTAGAGGGGTGAGGATGAACAAGGGAGAAATCACAGGGTTGCCAAATTTGGGGGGGGTGGAGGGCAGGAGTGAAGAAAATGGGAAAGATCCAGTGGGGAAGTGAAAAGACAGGGTAATGATATGCCTAGTTCAATGGTGATTAATTTTATAAAACACAATGTATGGGAATGATCGCATAAAACAATGTGAAAGAAGGAAAAGTGTGAAATACAATTCATGCACATTTTGTATATGCACAATATAAAATTTCAAAAAGTTACCAAAAAAAGGGACACGCTCAGAGTCTATGGCGCTGACGCCACTTCTAAGGCAGAGCTGTGCAAATTCTGCAGGACCCCTAGAATACTGAGTCTAGTAACAGCACAAAATTATCATATCGAAGACAAAATGGGCAAAGACAGAGTGCGTGTAGAAGCCACCTCATGTCTGCAGAGGAAGGGGATTCCACTTCACAAGCCTGCAGTCGCTTCAAGATGAGATGCAGGGACAGGGCTGTTCCTTTTTAATCATTAACGCAGTAATTTTGAGTTGTTACACATATAAAACTTAACTTTCTTAAACCAGAAGACATCTGGGCATCCTAGTAGCGTCCAGTAGCATCCCTTAGAGGAAACATTACAGTGACCAGTGACTTAAATTTTAAGTTCCACGAGTAATACTTGCGCTCACGGTGACTGGTGACCCTAGGCCATTTTATTCCTTCCTGAATCAGTTTTCTCATCTATGAGGTGGATTGATTCAGTGACTGGGGTAATCGGGATGGATGTGTCAGAGTCAATGAGATTGGCACAGGATAGAGCAGGGTTTAGAGCTGTTGTACATAGGGCCGCTATGAGTTGCAAGCGACTCGAGGGCACATAACAAGAAGAAGAAGATGGGAATAATGTGGCACCGATTTCATTGATTCGTGGAGAGTAAATACAAGTAATGCAAGGAAAACACAGAATCTGGTCCAAGCTAAAATGATAAACATGAAACCATTTATGGCAGCGCGTGCAGTGAATCAGGGTGCCCTCGCATCTCAGGGTAGAACTGAAACTGTGTCATCCAGACTCCCAACAAATGTGGTCATCTATTACTGGTAAACGCAGGCCTCTTCTGAGGTGGAATGTTCAACACAGAAGTCTAGGTTTTTGCTACTTCGGTGTTTTCTTGGCTTCTGAGACACGTGTTTCTTCAAGTACATCAAGTTCACTGTCAGTAATCTTTGCAGCTGTTCACTATGAGACAACTGACAATGTTCAGTTGCCTATATGAAGAAGAAAAACAGTTTTGACCTTCCCCCTTCCCCCAACAAGACCCAAGAGTTTAATCCTCAAACTTGATGGACTTGGAGGCGTTTCTGTCGATATAGAAGACTTTGTCCGGGGTTCTGGAGAAGCCGAGGCCGGCCCCGCGGTTGAACTTTCGGCTCATGGCCCGGTCGTAGTCCTGCTGCAGGTTCTGCTGCAGGGTGTTGGCCCCCTCCTTGCTGAGTGCCATGTTGGGCCTCGAGGTCACACTCGGGGGACGGCTGACCGAAGGGGAATGATTTTTAAAGCCACCCATCAGTTTGAGAAACTTCAGTTTCTGGTCCTCGGTTTCAAATCCAGCAGTGTCCCACTGGCCAAACTTGGTTCCCTGTGTCAAGAGAAAAGAAGGGAGTCATTTTCCCTGTTCCCAAAGCTTTCCATCCCCCGACGGCGCCAGTTTCACCATACAAACAGCTGATGAGCACATCCACCGATCGTCCTAGCTAAAGCTAACCAGAGGGAGACTCTTAGCTGTCCCACTTCACTGATGAGGAAAGGGAGGCTTACAGCTTCGCTGTGAATCACCTAGTAATCCCACCAAAATTCCAAATGGGGGGAAGCCACCTGTTTTTATCTTCCCTTAACCCATGTTAACAGGATAGCCCTTCAGTCTGAAATCTCTACACACGACACGAACGCAAGGAGTAAATGCCAGAGCCCCTCAGCGCAGTGGCCTGAGAAAAAAGTCTGCTTCTTCCTTGTGAGAACGCCAGAAAGATGGTGGCTTCCAAGTTAGACAGACGCTCGCTCGTTCAAGCCTCACCTGCAACCTGGGCCAGGTTACCCTCCCAGGCCTGTGCCTTCACCTACCGGGCATGCGACAGCCCCCTGGTGCACACTGCCTGGCATGGTTTTTAAGTCTTTAAAAATAGAGAGTTCTCCTCAGTCTCCTTGTTCATCATTCCACAGCTGACTTCCATACTGCCAGAACTCTGCATCTGCAGCCCAAATGCCGCCCAGGAGCATTTCTTGGTTGTCTCTGGGGAGAGTGAGCAGCAGATGCTGCTAGAGCTGCCCTGAGTGAAGGGTGATGTGGTCTCCCAGCTTCCTGTGACCCAGATGCTTGGCCCCATAGGCCAACCTTTCTAGTGAGAAATCACCTGTAACAGGCGCTGGCGGGGCAGCGGAGAGCACTGGTCTGCAGGAGCCAGCGCTTCTGAAGACTGACCGATCCAGAGGAACCCTCTGGCCAGACTGAGCCCCCTCACACGCCGCAGTGTTGGCTGGTTGTTAAGTCCCATTGGTTCTGCTTCCAAAATCAATGCTGAAGCTGTTTCTTCTAAACTGAGATCCTGGGGGGCAGCAGCACACCCGAAGTAGCCCTGGGTCCCACGAGCCAGAACTAGTCTTGTGCCACGCCTCCTGGGATTTGAACGTTACGGCCCTGTTTTTTCTTGTCCACCTCATATATTCAAGGCTATCCTGACAGCTCTCCTCAGCTCAGCAGGATGCAGAGAAAGGACATGCAGGAAAAGTAAAGCCCCATTCCAGGGTGTGAGTCTCATTTTACAGATGTGGAAACAAAGGCTCAGAAACGGAAGTTACTTGCCTAAAGTCTCACAATTCCAAAGTTAACAGCCAGGACTATGAATATAAGGGCTTTTGACCCAAATCAAGTTCTTGTTTGAACACTAAAGGCTTAAGAGCGAGCCAGTGAGCCGACTGTCACAGAGGCGAGCTGCATTATCATCTTGGGTTCTTTTCCCTGTCCCCCAAAACCCGCTGACTGACAAGTTCTGCTGGCTGTCTCTCAAAACCAATCTTGAAGCTGCTCTCTCAACTAGTGCCCCCCTCCTCAGCTCCAGCTTGCAGGATGGGCTGTCCCCTCCTTCTCCCTACTGCTGCTGCGTAACAAAAAAACCGGTCTCACCACAAGTCAAGTCAGTACAAGCTGCCTGCCTGACCCACCCTCCGCCTTTGGCCTTGACAGGACCCTCCCTCCAAGGCCTCTTCAACTTTCGGCCTTTCACTTGCTGCCCATCTGGCCTCCTCAGGGTCCATAACCCTGTACCCTTTGAGCCTGCGTTTCCTTCTCATCCCCGCCCCGTCACTTGGCAGCTCATCTGATTCTTCCAAGCATTCCCTCTGTACTGGTCTTTCTCCTCCTCTTTATCATCCCACCCACCCTCTGCCATGAAGGGTCCCTCCCCAGGTATCTCCTTGTCCCTGGGATCAGCGTGAAGCGTTCAGGAACAGATGATGCTGAGAGACCAAAGGGAGGTGCCTGGACAAGGCCGGCCTGTGCGTGGCGAGGCCACTGAGGATGGCCCTCCACCAGGCTGTGCAGGCTACGCCCATCCCTGCCTCATCTTCTCAGGCCTGGTTATCCCGAGTGACCATTCATCCCCCTGCCCACCTTCTGAGGGCTTCAGCCTTGGTTCTTTATCTTCCAAAGCTCATCTAGTCTGGTACAGAGCTTGCTGCAACATGACTTACACCTTAAGGACCAAGTTTCAAGGCTGGCCAGCGCTCCAGTGGGGAGGACTAACTGCTGTGGGGAGCTTCGGACCAACGTGCTCTCCATGACCTCCCTTCGCTGGCAGCAGGCCACGATGCTGGGGGACAAGTCAGGATACCAAGCATGCACGCCACCATGCAGAGCCCTGGTCCTGGTCCAACTTACCGTCCACTCTTTGGTTTCAAAAGCTTCTGTCTTGCCTGACTCACGGTCAATCTCTTCTTGCAAAGCCTTTCTCCTCACCTGAGCAGAGAAGAGGAAAGAGTTGGGAAGGAGTCACACAATTTCTCTTTAAATTCAGAAACCCAGGACAGGCTGTGGCTGGACGGTGGCAGGACAAAGAGGACCCCAGCTATTCCCTGCTGCAAAGCCGGGTGAAGCCTGTCAAGTGTCTTCAGAACCTAAGGAGGGCTGCACTGCCTTGGGCTAAAGTTGGCAAAGCTGCGTTCTCCCTAAAGTGTGAAAAAAGCCAACAGTCCTTAAAAAGGAGCTTTCCTAGAAACGGAAGATTGCCCACTGTCAGCATTATAGATTTTTTGCCTGTAATAACCATTTTGAGGGAGCTCTGGTGGCCCTGTGGCAAGCTACCCTGCAATCCCAGAGGTGTGCAGTTCAAATCCACCAGATGCTCTGCTGGAGAAGAAAGACAATCTCCTCCTGTACCAGTCAGATCCAATTTGACGGTACATGCACAAAAAATAATAAAAATTTAAAAAACAAAACAAAACAAAACACCCAAACAAAAAACACCACACAAACCATTTTGGGTGAAAACTTTCCCAACATATATTGCTTGGAGATCTGTGCATGGAAGACACTGAACCATATTTACCTTTCTAACAGTGTTGTGTTTTAGGAAAAACACAGCTACGGAGTCAGGGACAGCCTGGTTTGTGAGGCCTCGGGTAAGTCGCTTAACCTTTCTCAACACTGCGCTGTCTGCAGGACGCCTGGTGCGAGGCAGGTGCAGCTCCCACGTGGCTGCTGGCCTCGCCTGAAGTCCCTGCGCTGCCCCTTTCCTGTGGATCCAGGCTGAACTTTAGCTGCCCCAGGTTGTGGCCCTCCTTCCCCTCTTCTAACTGCTGCGGCTCAGAAATGCAGCCGGCCCGTTTACATCCCCTCTTAAGCACGAGCCAAGCAGCGGCTTTGGGAAAATGAGAAAGGAGGGTACAACCCGAAGGTGGAACCCCGCAGCTGTGAGTTACGAGGACGGTGTGAGGTGGTGATACAGATGTGATTCCACAGAAATGCAACACAGTTCACAAGTCAAATAAAGTAGACGAACCCAGGCTCCACATGGCTTTAAACTACACAAAAGGGAAAATGTGCGGAGCTAACATGTGAAGGGTTACAACCACCAGTTGGAGAGTTCAAGGCCCATATTCAGCCTGAACTTCCACGTCATGTCTGCCTCCACACATCAGCCCTCTTTTACATGCTTGCGTCATCTCTCTTCCTCTCCTGGAGCAGAAGGCCCATGTGTGCAGGAGCCACTTCTGTCTCCCACCCTGACTGGCTCTCATAAGCACTTGTTGATAAAGGACAGGGATGGCCACTTACTAAACATGCCCAGTGTCCTACAAACAGGGACAGGCATGGCCGCATGTGTGTAGGTGACCTATCCATGGCCCCCATCTTACAGGGGGATGGTGAGGGCCAGGAGAGTAGTGATTTGTCCAAGGTCTGCTGTGTAAGGGGCCTACTGGTCACCACTGGCCCTGCCAGGCCTTGCGATCCAGGATCTTAAAAATACCCCAAATCCACAGCATGTGGTTCCCACACAGGACATGAATGCCAGGGTTAACCAGACAGAAGCTAGTCTACACTAAACATCTCCTCCAATTACTCCTGAAACAAGCCCATGAGTGGCTGGCAGTCCACAGACCTAGCTGACAGGGTCCTAGGGACCCACCCTCTGTTTTGGTCACAGAGAGGGCCGTAGACTAGGTTCCAGCGAGCAGTCAGGCCCCTCTATCATCCTGGCAGCTGGAGGGAGTCTCCTGGCCTGAGGTGTGGGGAGGAGGGGGCCCACGCCGTACCTTGTCTATGCACGCCTCATCCATGTTACCCTTCTTCTCCAGGACCACCTCTAGGTCGGGGTCTGGCTCCTGCACAAGAGGGTAAAGTCAGGTGAGATCCAAGCTCATGGCAGGGAGTCCTCTGCCTCAGTGGCCCCGCCAAGCCGAAAGCGGGACACCACATCACCATTCCAACCCCTGCCATCGATATAACACCCCACTGTGAGCCAAGCCCTTCCCATCCTTCCTCTTCCTCAGCTCTCCATCCTAAATGCTAACTCAAATGACGGACAAAGAACTGAAGGCTTGGGACAAGCTGATATGGAGCTCGCCTTGTCCTTTGCTGGCACACACGTCACCTGGCTCCCCATGGTGGTACCAAAGCAGAGAGAGGAGACAGGCCAAAGGGGCCAGGGGTGTGAAAGTGAATTTATGGTTCCGTCACCAGACCGACCACCTGAGTCCACCCACTTCTGACCCTCTGACGCACACATCCCTCCTGGTTGCTGCCTTCTCTCCTGCCTGGACAACAGCAATGAACTCCTATCCTGCTGCCCTTTTCACAATCTACTCCCGCCCCCACCCCCAGCACTCCCAGGATGCACTGCTCCATCAGACATTGTTCCTCATCCTCCAGAGTCCCAGGGTGGTGCTCGGTTCACACGCTCGGCTCGTGCCAAGCATTGCGCGTTTTAACAGCTATAATCTTGCGGTTCACCAGGCCTTTCGTCTGAGGAACCTCTGTGTGGACTCTCACACCATGACTTTTTTTAAAAAAAAAATTTAGAGTAAAGATTTTAGAGTAAATTTACAAGAAAGGATGGGTTCACTGACTGATACTTATTTTTCTCCCTGGCTTAGTGCATTAATCATTTTTACCACGCGGGGCAACTGTAACTGATTAAAGGGTAAAAAAAATGTGGAATGTTTTTCCAGGCGTTCACCTGTTCCTGTATCTCTGGAAACAGGACCCCAGGGTCCCTCTCAGAAACTGTCCCCCTTTGAGCTCAGATGAGGTGGCTCAGGTGGGCCTGGCCCCAAACCTCTCCTTGCTCCTGGCTTCATACTGCAGCCCTGAGAGAGGCCAGGCCTAGACAGCGAAGCTGGCACCATCCTGAGATCGTTGTGAGGGGACATCATCTTCCTCAGGAGGGTGGAGCATCAAGGATAAAGCCTGGAGCTGAGGGCTGGTGGGTTAGAGGGAGCCTGCCTGCAGCTGAGACCAAGGTGGAAAGACAAAGCTGGGATAAACAGACGACACCTACAGCTGGGATGGTGTGCTCCCTCGGCAAGCCGAGAGCGCCATGGATACCATCTCACCGCAAACTCTTTTTAGTCCCTGCATGTGAGAGATCAGGAATTGGAAAAAGCAAGGGATTCATCTGAAAAAACAAATCCTGATTCATCTAAACCTTTGCATCGCAAGAACTTGGGCAGCATTTCAATGGCAAGGGATAGCTGTATTACTACTTCTGTAGGAGTCCCTGGATCCAGCCAGCCCTGAAGCCTGCAAACCCTCAGCTTTTCCAATTCCTTGTGCCAAAAAACTCCTTTTCTGGCTGAAGTCAGTTTCATCAGGGCGCTCGAGTCGAGAAGCACGGGCATGTGAGAATGTACACACGCACCTGTGTTGTGAACACGTGAACAACACTGCTAGCAGTCCCCTCAACCCCATTACTGTCCCTCGGCTAGTCTGTTTCTGAAGGAGAGCCTACCTCCTCATAAGGTTCTCTCAATATCTGGCTGTCTTTTCTCTTTTTCTTCTTCAGGGCCGACTCCTCCATGCCTAGAGGTTCTGTCTGCTTCTCGGATTTGCTTTTCTTCTTCATGGGGGTTCTGGACCCATCTCCTACTGGGATGTATTCCAGAACCTCGACTTTGGCTTGGTTCTTTTCACCCCCTTTCCCCACGGACTTGGAGGCTTGGAGGTGGCTGCAGGCCACGTCTCCCTCCTGGTACATCTTCTTCTTCTTCATTTTGACTTGGTGTTCACTGGGGCTCTCCTGCTTCCGTTTCTGCCCCAAGGCTGCCAGCTCCTCACTCACCCTCTGTGCACAAGCAAAGGTCGCATCCCCGGCCTCCACAGGCCTGGGGTTCTGGACCATGAAGGCCACGCTGTCCTGAGTGCATTTCTCCTTCTTGTGTTTTTTGACCTTCTTGACACCTCCGATACCCTCTTTGGCTTGTCCAGGGCTCAGGGAGGTCTCTGCCTCTAGTCCGTGGGGCCCAGACAAGGACCTCCTCTTCATTTTCTTCTCCCCACTTGGACACTCAGTAGAATCAATGATCTGCTTCCTGGAGCTGGGTGACCTTTCTGCCCGCCTGGCTGAAAGCACAGTTTTGGGTTCTAAATGGTGTTCACTAAGAAGTTTCTTTTTCTTCTTCTTTTTCTTCACTAGAGGCACTTCAGGTGCCTGGACCACGTTGTTACAGTGGGATGGACCTCTCTGAGGAGAAACCTTGGTGAGATAATCGTCTTTTACACCTGAACACAGACTCTCTGGCTCTTTGACCACTTTCTTTTTCTTCTTTTTCTTTTCTGAGAGCCCAGAGCCTGCATCTGCTTGCTGAGTCTTAGTGATCATTCCTGAGGAAAAAAAGAAAGGGGACAAGTTATTTCTGCACCAAACCACTCTAGACCCAGTTCAATCAGGCATCATCAACTCTACTAGGAGCTCTGGTGGCCCAGAGGGTAAGGCATTGTGCCGCCAATCCAAAGATGCACGGGTGCAACCTACCAGCTGCTCCACAGGAGAGAAATGGGTGCTTGCCTCCCAGGCGAGTTACAGACTTTCAAAATCTGCTGGAAGGTCAACTAAGAGTTGGTTCCGACTCAAAAGCAATGAGGGAATGAGTGAGGTCTCTCTTTTAGGAGCCATTATTTCTTGAACTGAACTCTAGAATGAACTAGAAAAGTAACAAAAGAAAAACGTCCAAATGTTCCCTTAAAGCAACACCAGGAATACACATCATGACCCAAATATCAACTCCTAGGAAGTATTTCCTGACACCTAACACAGAACGGTCATGTTCTCTTAAACGACTCTCAACCACATCACTCAGTCTTTCACAAAGTGAATCACAAACTGGAACTAACTTTCTTATTATTTATTTACATCCTCATTATCACCCTCCTTTGTTCTGTATAGGCAACAACTATTTTTTTTTTTTCACAGCAATCAATCCATTTTCCCTAGAACACTATATGACACAAGAATTGATAAACACTTGTCAAGTAAAAGTTGTTCCAACTTTTATTTTTGCTAACTTTGATTTCTGTGATACATTAAGTGTGACAAATTAGTTAAGATGATAATAAAGAAAAACAAAACAAAACAAAAACCACAACAGGAAGGTTGAGTTCCAGAAGAGGCTATCTAACTTGGCAACTTTGAAGAAAAAGACTGCCAAAATCATTTAAAGAGTGATGGGATCTCCCCTAATTCCTCGTTATTTCACCACCCTTGGCCCCTCTCCACTGCAGTATGGCAAATGAAAGATAGGTGGTGGAGAGTTTGGTGATTAATAAAACTCAGTAGGGGAAAGATCATATGAAAACCAAGGTGAATAGAAGAAAGTATGAAACACAAGGTATATAAACGAGACACAATGTATACAAATTTTGTATACAGACCAATATAAAAGAATTTTAAAAAATAAAGAGCTGGAATAGCGGTCTGAAGTGTTAGTGATGGAGAAGATGATGAAAGGAAAAATTATAAAAGAAATGCAGGGAGTTTAAATTCAAACATACCGGGGTGCCAAACTCCGCTCTCTAACCTGGAGTCAGTTACTAAAGCTCATGGAACCTACCTGGAAAATAACAATTATTCTCAAAGGAGTCTTGGAAGAAGGGGTGGGGGGGGGGGGGGTGTAGTGTTCTTTATCAGAAGAGAAAGAGCGAGAGAGGGGAGGGGAGGGGTGGGGAGGAAAGGGAGAGGGAACAGGGTAAAGGGGAGAGGGAAGAGAGAGAAGCCACATAAAGTACTTGCCATATTTTTCTAACCCTTCTTCAAATCTCTAAAGCCTAGTCAGTCAATAGATACTCTTCAACTACCATTTATGTGGCAGCAAACAAGGTGACAAATGCAATCAGGCCAGTTGTTGTCCCTGGGCTTGCCTACCACGGATGACATAGATGATGTGGACAGAGAGCCTGAGGCACTGCCTCTGGATAGCTGCTTATGGCAAAGTGATTGCAGGACAATTAACCCCAGACCTGCCCTCATTTAAATACTTTTCCACTTTGCTTGCTTTAGAAAGTAATTCGCCCCAAAGTGCAGTCAGAGAGAACTCTGGTGTTCTAGTGCTAATGAGGTGCACTGTCCACCCAAAGGCATACAGTTCAAATCTCTCTCTCAGCTGCTTTGAGAAAGAAGGACGATCTCTTCCCCTGTGATCTGAAAACCTGCTGCTCAGCTATGGGTCAGTTTTGACTTGATGGTACAGGACAACAACAAACAAGTACATCCTGGGAGACTGACTCTCCTCAAAGCCTGTGCAACTGGTAATAAGAGCAACGGTGAGGGATGGGGAGAAGGGCTTTAGAGTCATGAGTTCCAAGGGTGAGTCTGACACTCTGATGTCCATATGCCTTGACTTCTCTGAGCCTCTATTTCCTCATTAAAAAAGGGTGTTCCTCTAAGGTGGTCTGGTGGGTAAGGAGTTGCTATGCCAACCCAAAGGCAGGTCATGTGGATCCACTAGCTGCTTGCTCGATGGGAGTAAGATGGGCAATCTCCTCAGATCTGCAGCCTCTGAAAAGCCCTCGGAGGGTCAACTATAAGGTTGTTCCAACTAGACTCTACAGTAGTGGACAACCACAACAACAACCAGGCCAGAGATTACAAACTAGGGGTCATGGGGCCACATGGGGCCTTTATGCTTAATTCATGATTTTTAAAATGTCAAATCAATTACCAACATTTAATGACTGGGGGTGATATACACAAACATGGACTGCCCAGCTTTTGTGGAGAAATGAAAAGATTAGACAGCCATTGGTGGGAAGGGAGGCCTGTGAGTCAGGTCTGCATACATATCTGCTTCCCACTCTCACTGCAGTCTCTGCTGATGCTTGGACTGGATGACACTGAGGCAAAGGGTCCAGGAGTAGCTTGGACACAGGAAGGGAAAGGTCAGTAGCTCTTCTTAGCCTCCCAGCAGGGCCACAGGCCCCTGGCTCACCCTTGGCAGCTTCAGAAAGCCAGTCCACACGTGAGTTTGAGCTCAAGTTCATTCCTAGCCTGCTCCAGGAGCATCAGGAGAGCCAAAGGCATTACTGTTCTTGTCTCCTCATTCCTGTCTGGTTTCCAGCTATTTGCAGGGTCTTCCACACTGCCTGGCATATAGCAGGTGCTCAATAAAAACCAAATGAATGAGTGAAAGAAAACCAAGGAGACAAAAACAGCAGGGGGGGAAAAAACCATTTGCCTTCAAGATCCAGGTAGGTGAGGGAGGAAGGGAAAAGTATTAACAGTATACAGATGGGAAAAGCTAACAGTGCTAAGGTTAGGATGGTAGGGGTGTGTGTGTATAGGGTGTACAGTGAGTTTTCAGGGGGTATGGCTGTGAACTCAGCAGGTTTGAGCAGACTCAGTCTGAGGTGCTTTGAGCTACGCAACTGCAGATAGCTGGAAATTCAGTCATTACCACTCACTGGCTGAGCTCTAGCAGCTTAGTGGTAAGGAGGCGTGCACTGTCAATCCAAAAACACCGGTTTGAATCCAGCAGCCGGCTGCTCCTTGGAAGAAAGACTGGCAATTTCCTGTGCCATTGATTTACTGCCTCTGAAAACCCGCTGGAGAGTCAGCTCCAAGTCTGTTCAGACTGGAAAGCAAATAGTAACAAGACACATCGCTGAGTCCAGTGGATTTCAATTGACTCCAACTTTACAGGACAGAGAACGGACCCATAGTGTTTCCAAGGCTGCATGCAAGCTATTGAACCTGACAGAACGGCTGGGGGCTTCCAACACTGACCTTCCAATTAGCATTCTAACATGTAACCGATTAGGCACCTGGGATCGCAGCAATCACTGCATATAGTTAGGCCAACACAACAGCCACAAGGGGAAAAGCTTCAGACAGGAACGTTAAAGTGGGTGAACAGAGGAAACGGAGAAGGTGCAGACTGGTGAAAGGGGGTCAGACAAGTCCAACAGCGGGAAGGAGGGATCATGAAAACTGCGGAGAACAAAGGCCACGGAGAAGGTGAACTTGATCCTTTCCGCCCACTTGGCCACTTCAGAGGCCCAGCGCAAGTCCTTCACCCTGTATGTGATCATCTACATAAAGATTAAAGAGGCAACGTGTCCTCCGTTTTTGTCTCCTGCAGTCCTCGCTGGAACACAGTGAGGATCGGTGTGAAGATCCCAACTCGGACTTGGGCTCTAGAGCGAAGTAAGCAAAACGTCAAAACCGGGATTCGAACTCAGCGCGCAAGAGCCGAGAGCCTGTGCCCAGCACGAGGGGCGACAAGCCGTTGCGGCCACAGTGACGTGAGCAGGAACAAGGGAACCTCGGGGATCCGCCGCACCGCGGCTTCGGCATAAACACCCAGGGAGTGAGTTCGAAGTCCAGGGCCAGCCAGGATCAATATCGGAAAGCTTCCTGGAGACGGCGGCCTCGGCCCGGACGCACGCGGTCGGCTGGGCGGCGGCCCGCCCGCTCGTCTCCTCGTTTGTCCGCCGCGTAAACCCCCAAAGAGCCCACACCGCTCCGCCCGGCGCCACGACCTCCCCACTCACCAGCCGGCCAGGCTTCCCCGCCTCCACGTGAACGCCAGCTCCGCCGTGACCCGGAAATAGACCTCGCCTTGCTGCCCCGCCCCCGCCGGCTCCGGCTCCTTCCGGGTCGTGGCCGAGTGGCGTGGCCGGTTACCGTGGGAACGGCGTCTCGGGCTCCTAGGGCTGAGCCGCCTGCGCTGTCCCGCCGCATGGACGCACGCGAGGAGTCAGCCGACTCTCCCGAGTCGTCGGCCACGACCAGAACCCCGGCGCCCACCGTGTCGCCGGTGTCCCCCGAACTGCCCGTCTCTCCGAAACATGTCGCGGAATCGCCGGGCAAGAGCTTGTGGGAGCAGATCTGCGAGGGTAGGCGAGCCGAGAGCGACCGGCGGCCGGGACACGGGCGGACGCGGGTTCCGAGCGCCCGCTGTGTGCCAGGCCCCCAGTGTCACGTACCGGGAAACTGAGTCAGTGGTGGTTGTTGGGTGTACCGCTGAGTCGGAACCCACCCGTCGCCGATCCTCCAGCGGGTTTTCAGAGGCTTTAAACCGCAGGGGAGGCGACTGTCTCCCGCGGAGCAGCTCCTGCTTTCCAACTGCGTGCCTTTACTTTGGCAGCACAGCTTCTTCTTATTCTTTTTAATTTAATTTTTGTGTGTGTACCTTGGCTCCATGGTCAACGTTCTTGGCACCAGCAGCCAGGAAATCAAAAAACGTATTGCGATGGGAAAGTCGGCTGGTAGGGACCTCTCCAGGGTTCTGATGAGCAATGGTGTCTCTCTGGAGACTAAGGTGCGTCTGATACAGGCTGTGGTCTTTGCAATCACTTGTTATGCATCAGAGAGTTGGACGATGACTAGGGAGGATAGAAAGAGAATTGATGCCTTTGAGTTGTGGTGCTGGAGAAGAGTATTGAATGTACCCTGGACTGCCAAGAAAACAAACAGATCCATCCTGTAAAGGGTTAAACCAGGCTACTCCTTGGAGTCAAGGATTCTGGGGCTTCGTCTGACATATTTTGGACATGTTGTAAGGAGGGACAGGTCCTTGGAGAGGGACATCATGCTTGGGAGGGTGGAGGGACAGCGCAGGAGGGGAAGACCCTCTATGAGGTGGATTGATTCAGTGACTGGGATACTTGTGATGGGCGTGTCAGAGGCAGTGGGCGTGTCAGAGGCAGTGTGATTGGCACAGGATATAGCAGGGTTTAGGGCTGTTGTACATAGAGTCGCTATGAGTCGCAAGCGACTCAACGGCACATAACAACAACAACAACAACCGTTAAATCATATCTGACTGGTGCAGGAAGAGATTGTTCCTCCTTCTCCAGCAGAGCATATGGTGGATTAGAACTGTGAATCTCTGGGATTGCAGTGCAACTTCTTGCACTAGGACAGCAGAGCTCACCATCATCGCAGCTTCTTACCACTTAGTCCGAGTTCCCTTCCCTAAAGTTAGAGGGAGAGGAAGGCGAGGGGCAAAGAGGACCCAGTGGTTCTCCATCCCTTTTCAATGAGCAGAAAAGAAAAAGAGGTTGGACACCTGCATCCAGTGGGTCCATGGAATCTGCATTTTTATCCAGTTGGGGACACGCCTCTCTGGCGGCTGGAATCCACCAGCTTCTCCGCTGGAGACAGATGGGCTATCTCCCATGAGCAATTAATTGACAGCCTCAGGAACCCAGTGGGAGTTCTGATTTGCACAGCCGCGAACTGACAAATGTAGATTTTAATCCGATTCGGCTTCTGTTAGCCTCCAGCGGAATTCAGCTCACATTAGCTAAATTTGATTTACAGGAAGATTGCAAGAAATGGTAGCGGCTTTTACTTAAGTTTGGACACCCCACTCCCACCTTTGCCTAAGCAATGACCACCTCGAGATCAAGGACCCAAATTCTTGTAGCCACCGTCTCCACTTCAGCTGTCTGAAACGAGAGAAAACTACTAGCCACGGGTGGGTATTGAACTCTGGGAATCTCGGTAATATGACCAAGGAGCTGCATTTATTTTATTTTGTATTCAAAACCCCCTCAAAAGTCAACGTCATTGCCGTCTGGTCGGAACTGACTCATAGTGGACTGTCCAGTGGTTTTTCAGAGGCTGTAGCTTGCCGTGGAGCTCTGGTGGCCTGATGGTAAGAAGCTGCCCTGCAATCTTGAAGGCACGCAGTTCGAGGCGACCAGCTGCTCTTTGGAAGAAGGATGGGCAGTCTCCTCCCATGGGATTAACTGCCTCTGGAAACGCACTGGAGTGTCAGCTGTGGGTTGGTTCCGACTCTGTGGTGCACAACACAACAACAGCAGGTTGCCTAGGACAGTATTGCCCACCTCTCTTCCATTTGCTTCTGGTGGATTTGAACCTCCAGAGGGACGCTGCTTTTGAGTTAGCCACACAACTCACGATAGCCTATGCTACGAGTGGTTGGTCCCCTATTTTGTACCAGTAAATTTAAATAGCTGCTTGTAGCTCATACGAAAAGCCATCCTGTGGATTCTGATGCCATCCTGTGGGTCTGTCCATCATGTTTCTGAAGCTGTAAATCTTCCCCCTGAGAGACTGCTAGTGAGTTCAAACTGCTGGCCTCTCTGTTAAAAGCCTGATAGTTTATGCACTATGCCACCAGGATGCCTTTACTTGTAGCCAGTGACAGGTATATCTCACAGTGCAGGTCAATAAATGGGTGTGGAATGGTAGAATGAGTGTCCCAGGGTATGAAGGACAACAGTAGGCGCCAAGACAGTGAAGAGCTGAGAGAGGTGGAGAATCTGCAGGAGAAGTGGTCTATGAATTGCTGAGGCTACAAGGGCAGTCTGTGTGTCCCCATCCAGTGCTTGGACACCTTCTTCCAGCTTTACATTGCATTATCATTGCATGCTGTTAGGTGGTAATAGACCCACAGCTGACCCTCCAGCAGGTTTTTAGACACAATAAATCATACCAAAGCAGATTGCCCATCTCTCCTGCAGAGCAGCTGGTGGATTCAAACATGCATTTGAGATTGCAGCACAGTTTCTTACCACTAAATCAACAGAACTCCCTGTTGCATTACATCTAGGAAAGTTGGCTACATTCCTGAATGTTCTCTTTGTGTCTTCCACATTTTGGTCCTTACCCGCTTTGTACACTTCCCAGAGAATCCCTTCATACATTTGAGAAGCGCCTTCAAGAGTGCTCTCTTTTCCTTGCCAGTTTTGTTTTTTTAATAGAATGGCTCGTTGAGCAAACTCCGTCAGTTAAAGAAGGAGAAAGAGAAGCAGTTAACTCTTGTGTTGTGCAATTTACTGCCTCTGAAAACCCACTGGAGAGTCAGCCTTGGGTTTGTTCTGACTTGACGGTACTCAACAATAATAATCCTACAAGGAGTGTTAGTGGTATAGTGTGTTATGCAGTGTGTTAACCCGAAGGTTAGTGGTTCAAATCCAGCGGCCACTCTACAAGATAAAGATTTACTATCTTGATGAGCCTGTGGAAGGTGATCATCAGTTGGGACTGACTCTAGATCAATGCTGGGTTTTTGTTGTTGTTGTGGGAGATGGGATGTTAATCATTATATAGAGGGGCATTGGTGGTGTGGTGGGTACACACTCAACTAAAATATTATTAGTTCGAAGCCACATGCTCTGCAAGAGAAAGATGGGGCTGTCTCCTATAAATGATTGTTGTTGTTGTTGATTGCCTTCAAGTCAAGCACTATGCATAGCGACCCTATGAACAAAAGGCCTGAAGCCCCTCTACAGCTATCGACGTTTATCAAAGTTCATGGAGTTTCCAGAGGTGTGTTGTTTAGGAAGTGGATGCCACTGCTGCTTCCAATATTAAAGATTAGTCTTGGAAACCTAAGGGTAGTTCTTCCCTGTTCATTGGGGTTACTGTGAATTAGAATCAACTGGAAAAGGACAGAACTACAACAGTCCTACCTGTGAGCCCTGGTGGCACAACTTTAAGCACTCAGTTGGTAACTGAAAAGTTGGCAGTTTGAACCCATCAGCTGCTTCATAGAAGAGACTTGGGAGTCTGCTCTTGAAAAGACTGTGCAAGGAACACTGTGGGACCGTTCTACTGTGTCACTTGTGGTTCTGTGAGTTGACAATGACTGGACAGTACCCGTCACGTAACATAACTGTTGCTGTACAAAAGCAGTCATCATACCTACCTCACAGGGATGTTGTGAGGATTCAGCCTGTATGTGTGTGACAGGGCTCGCACAGGGCCTGGTATTTAGTAGGTGCTCAATAAATGTATGTTATTGTTGACAAACAAAAATGCTCTGTGGTGTGTTTCGGAATCGTGGAAGGGGTTTTGTTTTGTTTTTTGTCAAACAAGCCAAAAGGGAGAAAGCATTGTTTTCTCTGCTAAGTAAGGGGTTGATGCTGCTTACAAAGTTGAAGGAGTATATATACCTGGGCTCTGTGAAGATTGTTAGAACCTAGATGAATGAGCCTAGCTTGCACACTTTTTAACAATTTTCTGTACAGACATATATGGTTATGTGCTGTCAAGTCAGCCATGACTCATAGAGACCCAATGAACAATAGACCTGAACCCTGCCATCTCCTGTGCCTTCCTCATCATCACAGACACACTTGAATTTGCTGTTGCAATCACTGTATCAATCCTGTCTTATTGATGGTCTTCCTTTCTTACTCAGACCCTCTACATTTCATGGAAGAATGATGTCCTTTTCCAAGGACTGGTCCCTCCAAACATGTCCAAATATGTGAGATGAAGTTTAACCATATTTGCCTCCAAGGAAACCCTGGTTGCATGCTTTCCAAGACATTTTTGTTCTTTTGGCAGTCCGTGGAATATATTCAGTTCTCTTCTCCAACACCACGACTCAAAGGCATTGATTGTTCTTCTGTCATCCTTAGTCATTGTCCTACTTTCTGATGCCTAATAAGTAATCAAAAAGACCCTGGCTTGAGTTAGGTGCATCTGGTGGCCTAGGGGTAAGAAACTGAGCTGCAGTCCCAAAGGCATGCAGTTCAGATCCACCACCTGCTCTGTGGAAGAAGGATGAGCAAGCTCGCACGCAATTAACTGCCTCAATAAACCTGCCAGAGGGTCAGCTATGAGTCTGTTCCGACTCGATGGTACACAACAACAAGTCTTTAAGCTGACATTACTGCTCTTCACTTTGGAGAGGTCCTTGACAGCAGATTTTCCCAGTGCAGCATATATTGATTTCTTGAATGCTAGTACCAAGGGTCTTGTGGATCCAAATAAAACATACAGTGAGTATTCTCATCATAAACATTAAAAAGTAGACTTCCCAAGAATCTTAACTTTGAGATGAAGAGTTACCTTCCATTAGATTATCTCCATTTAAAAATAAAATGATATCACAGTAAACAGATCTGCCAGAAAT